CGGGAGGGGCTGTTTTTTCTTTTTTCTCTTAAACGTTTTAAAGGAAGCCGGACGTTGACTGGGAGTTCTCGCTTCTGCTTTGAGCTTTGCCGAGGACTTGACGGGGCCCTTGTTTTAACCCTGGAGTAAATCTTGGGGCCCTGGGCTCCTGGGATGTCGACTTAGCTGCAGTGTTTTGAGTTCCTTGGAGGTTCATGTGAGGTGGAGACAGGTAACTTAGCGTCAGCTGTCCTTGTTTGCTTTTAAAATGCTGTCGGGGTTGTCGGGCCGGGAGCGGTCTGAACTGAGGCCACTTAACTGAGGGAAAGGACGCGACGGGGCCTGGCTCGTGGGGGATCCTCAGAAAATCGTGGGTTCCCCTTCCCTCCCGACGCCCCCGCGCCCGCCATGCTCGGCCGGGAGGACTGTTGGCTCCCGCCTGCCTTGGGAAGAGTGTAAGGTGGCGGAAACGACCTGTCCCCCCTTTCCACATGGTCACTGAGGGAGTCATGAGGAGGGGCTCTGGGGAGGGGGCGTTTGAACACGACAGACCCGGTACATTCCCCTTAATTGTAAGTATAGGGAAGCTGAGGTCCAGAAAGATGAAGTGCCTTGATGGACCCAAGGCCTCAGGCCTGGTGTGGCGACAGGCGCGGGGAGAAAGGAGTGAGGGAATGGTGTGTGTCGAGCGTCAGCGGTGTGGAGGTGTCTTGCCAGAGGCTTCATACACGGTACTTCCGTTGATTCTTGACATGCCTCCTTTCTGTCACTGTGCTCTCCCTCTGTCCGACGGGAGTGTTTATGCATCTATGAGTCCGTATTTTAACAAGCTCCACGACCTGAACCGCAGTAACGCCCTTCGGTGGGCTAAGTGGTGGGCGTCCTTGAACACAGGTACAGGGCAGCGCAGTGCTGATGCGGACCAGACAGGGGAAACGCGAAGGAAGTTCCCGAGAACTGCGGCCCGGAAGAGGCGGGGAGGTAGCGGACAGACAAAATAATGCGGTCTGTCATTGCTGCAGGGAAGTTTGGTTGGGGCGGAACTGCAAGTCCGGGAATGTGTGGACTCAGATTTTCAGGGCTGCGGTGTGTGGGTAAGATGGCTGAGGAGCCGAGAGGGGTGACCCGATCGTCTGCTCTGATTGCTGTCCTGTAATTTGGGCGCTATAAGCATCCAATCACCGAACATACCTACGCCGGCGCATTGTCATTTTTATTTCATCATAATATTTGTGTTAATGATATAATTTGAAGGGCTTACCGGGAGAGACAGCATGGCACTTGTGGCGGGTCATCGGGCAGTGTTAACTGGAAAGAGCATCTGGAGGTGAGGGAAGACGCGACTGGGGGTAAGGGTAGCCACAGACTTGCCAGAGGAGGGGACCCCCGCTGGTCTGCAGGGACTTTTCTGTCCCCCCACCACACCCACCCCCTCTTTGAAGTTCCTGCCATGTTCCCTTTAGGAATGTACCTGTTGGGTTTTTCAGGAGTGTGACTTTTGTTTTTTTTTTGTT